AATCAGCAAGCTCTACTCCTCACAACTTCAATTTAATTGTCAATTTAAAGGAGGAAGTCACTCAACAGGCCCTATGTAACAGGTTACAAGCTAAGATAAGCTCACTTCTTTCAATTTCATATTCTTTGGTTTTGATAAAATTTTCAGTGCTGAAGATATCTGGATGCATACACATAGTTTAGTAGAATATAGTTATATTTACTTCCAATTTTTGCAAATGAGGGACTATTCTTGTTGTGCTCACTTCCTTTATCTTCACTATATGCATATGTATTTTTGCAGTGAAATGTATGCACACCCACAAAGTTGTGTCAGTGAATGCCTAGTTCATTTTTGCACTAAAATGCCCTCCCAGTGCTTTCAGCTTCAGTTGAAGGAGATAGAACTTCAGATAAGATACTATCTGCTTTGTGCTGGGCAAATTTGAGTAGTAAACTGTAGAAACTGTGGTCAGTATTTGTTTCTTTAACCCAGCAGCTGTCTTGTGCTGTGAAATCCCTATTCACAGTGGGTAATGATTACAGCTTCATAAGATAATGCACAACCTTCATGCCCTTCACACCCTTTTCTGCTGCTTCTGCAGTTAGTTCAGCATTACAAGACTGCACGCTCTCCTTTACTACATGCACCAATCTTAAAGCTTGGATAGATATCAACTTCTTTCAATTTTTTGTTGCTTCAAATTCAGTGTTTTTGATTTTTTCCTGTATGTTAGTGTAAAATAACTTCACTGGAGTTATACCAAATCATGGCCAGCTTATGAAATGTCTCCTACTGCTCGAGAATGAGGGATATTGGTTTATACTCAGAGATAGGCTCCATGTGTGTTCTTAGCAAGGAATATAGAAATGCTCAAAACTGCAGTTTAAGTTTTCATTTTTTGGAGTGTTCTGCTGGTCCTCTTGGCTTTTCCTTTGCCCCCTGAATATCCTTTGCTACTGAACTGGATGCTGTCAGGCATTGAGGATGGGTGAGCTGTTCTGAGATGCCCCAGAAGAGGGCAATCATGTAAATCTAGTGCTAGGCATCAGTTCATTTCTGCTTACCATGTTGAAAAAAACTAGCAATTTCTAAGACATTCGGTTTAAATGTTCCTTTGGCTCTGAAATGTCAATGGCTCTTAAAAGTCCATAGGTGGCAGTGGTGGTGGCCACTTCTGAAGGCAATGGAACAGTTTTTAGATCGGGCCTTAAAAAATATGGACCAAGACTCATTCCTGTCTTGTATATTACAGTCCTTCTGATGAAGTCATATTGGCACAATAGTGATGCTTAGTGAAATGTCTGTCTTGTTTGGTAGAGTTGTTATCTAATTGTTTCTTTGGAGGAGACTGAGGATGCCACTTTCAGCAAAATGCACAGGAACACCCCAAAACCTTAAAAAGCAAAGCCAGGTGCCTTACTTGTGCCAGCAGTGCTGTGCTGAGTGGCTGGAGGAGACACCTGTGTTTGTCATCACCATTAACGTGTAGGATGGCTGGTAATGTTTTCTCAAGTCCTGAATCCTCAAAGAGAAAAAGGTGGTTTATCTCTTAACTGGGAGCTTCACTGGAGTTTCATGGTGTACATGTACACCTACATTGCAGACAGTTGCTTGACGCTGCCCAAATTTCAGTCTACACTGACAAGTGAATAGGTCTTCACGCTTTTCATACGTCTTTTAGATGTGGAAGACATCTTAAAAAATGGGGCTCCAAAGCACAGAAAGTGTCTCCCTAGAGACCTCAGATATTCTAATGTTAACATGATGGCTGTCCTGTGCACATTCAGATTTTCTCTAGCATTACAGTGAAGGGCTCACCACACAGCATATACATCACTTACCAAATTACTCTGTTTCAAGTAGCAGACTTGCTGCCCTGGAAAAAGAGTTTATATATATATCCTACATTTTTTCTAGCACTTCTTATTCCAGTCCTTGATCCCTCAGTTATGATCCCTAGTCCTTGATCCCTACGATAAGATCTTAATTGCAGTTCCAACACATAGTAGCTAGCTACTGTCCAGAGGCTGGCATCCTCCGTGTAGAGGTTAATTCATGACCCTATTGCTGTTTCTCTCTTGGGACTTGGTGCTTATACCAACCATATCAACCAGCAGCTGGGAAGGTTTTGCTTCATGAACACTGTTCTGTGTCAAAAGAAATGCTATCATATTGTTAGGTTTAAGCAGTTGGATGAAATGCAACTGCCGACCATGTGTGAGGCTGAGAAGGAGTCCCGTGAGTATTAGTGGTATCTCAGTGTTGGATTTGGGCACCTAAAACCAGCAGGACCATCAGCTTTGAGAACTAAAACACAAGGACTCCTTAGGGCTGCATTCATAGACTCTGTAACCAACCATCCTGTTTTTGGATCTGGGTCTGGAGGGTCAGCTCTATTGATCGAAGCCACACACACTGTCAAAAGTATTATTCTTTTTTCCTCAGTTGGGCAAGTTGCCCAAACTGTGCCCTCATTTATCCTGTAATAACCTTACAACATCAGCAAGTGCCTCTGTGGATCTGAGGACATTTAGCAACTCTCAGAGGGGACTGAGATTTTGCCAGGCCTGGCCCTAGAGCTTCATTTTTCTACCAGAAACACTTTTTGGAAATAGAAGCTGTCAGTAACCCAGATGGGCTGAAGGTTGATAGCAATTTGGTTTAATAGCTCCTTGTGGCTGTTTTTTGGGTTTTTTTGTTGGTTTTTTTTTTTTTTTTTTCTTTCTTTTTTTAACCTCTGATTCTTAATTGAAATGGAAAGCAAAAATTCCTGTCAGCATGCGTGCATCTTCTAAGATCTGCCAACAGCACCACATGGCATTCATCACATCTCACAAACTGAAGGTTCTCTGACAGCCTTCCTGGTGTTGTTAAGAGGAGAAGATGGTACAGGCACTTCTATATGTCATAGAATCATAAAATCATTGAATTGTTCAGGTTGGAAAAAACCTTAAACATCATTAAGCCCAACCACAACCGAACCATACTACACGAACTCCAACAACCCTCTGCTAAATCCTCTCCTTACTGAGAGCTGTAAGACACTGGTTGGAGTTAGAAAGGAATGGGTGGGAAGAAAGATCTTCTGAGATCACAGCAAGATTTACAAGGGTATTTTTCCCAAGCTCGAAATAGATAATTTCCATAAACTCCATGCAACAAATAATGTGAGGTCTTGTGACTGCGGAATGTCTCCCAAGAGATGTCTGTCTGCTATGAACCTGCTAAATGTCCCTCAGTGATTCATTTTGCATCTCCAAGCCCCAGTTTCAGCATTTATAAATTAAACAGAATGGTAACAACTTTCCAGTGTTTTGAGGAGTATTTACAATACAGTTCAACACACAAGACTGTTGGCAAGTTTTTTAATTCTTTCTGCTCTCCAAATGCTCAACTGCATGCTATTGGCTTAACATTGCCTCTGCACCAAAATGCTGAGAATGATAGGGTCTGCGTAGTGCTTTTCTAAGGGGAAAGAGGGGGAGTAAAAAGAATAAAAGAGTGACCCAAGAGGCGATGTTTGGGAGTTGCCCAGCTGTGTTTCTAATGTTGTGTCTCAGATGCTGGTCAGATTCCAAAGGTAGAAGTTCCATCCAACCCTATCTGGAAGGGAAAAGAGCCACTGTCAATAAATACGTTTGGGGTACTTTCTCTCAATGAATTTGGAGAGAACCTCTTATTTATTTTTTCAGGGAAGTTTTGAAGCAAGCCAACTACAGGCTGCAGCTGGGGTCAGGACTGTGTTTGCCAGCTCCCTGAAGAAAAAGTTTTCTCTGGGAGTTTTATCTAAGCTACAAAGCCCATTCTGAACATGGTGTCCAGACCCAGCTGCTATCTTATCTGAGTTAGGAGAACTCTCTATGGTTCAAGTTATAAGCAAGACGCTGGCATGAGAGGGCATGCCCTGAGGATGTAGAGATGAGATGTGCCATCCATATGAAGAAGGCCACCTCTTCTCTCTCTCATCCAAGTTCTGTGGACTGTACTGTGAAGAAAGAAAGAACAAGCAAAGTTCCAGGACGTGCAATGAGAGTTTGACTGGAGAAGCATGAACGTGTAACCTGATTTAGGTGACATTTTCCCAGGATGACTCTCGTGCAGCAGTCAGGTTGGATTATCACAGCTAAGCCCAGCTGAGGGCTGAAAATTTACAGATTTGCACCATGATCTAGAGGAAGATTTTCCATGCAAGATTTTCCTTTGCAAATCTGCACAATCAGTGCCTTCCTTGACATTGACCTTATTTTGGGCCTAGATCTTGGTTGTGTTGAAGCCAAAGAGAGGTTTTGCTCTTGGCTCCAGAGAGGTTAGGCCAAAGATCATACCTCAGTGAAGTTTCCAAGCCTGAAAATGAAACAGAGCAGTAATGCAAAGGAATTGCTGTTTTCTATAATTGCCTTCATTGCTGACGTTCTATTTTTCTTCAGTCAATCAACTCCTGATTTAATTATACTTTTGGGGGCCTATGGACACCAGCGTTTGCAAGGCTGAGTCCCTAAAGCATTTACAATTCCGCCTTGTTTTTAAATGGACTAAATTGTGTTGCCTGTTAAAACAAATTCACTTGTCAAATCTCTTTCTTCAACAGCCTTGCCTTACACCTCGCCTTGACAGTGTAATAATGTCTGAAAAAAACAACCTAAAGGCCACTTTCTAGCTACAGTCACCCCTCAAATGAACAGCAGTAAGGAGGCAGGGAAGTCAGAAATACCAACCTGCACTCTGGGATAGTATAGCAGTGCTCAGGACCATTTGTATCACTTGCAAAGACTGGGGAGAGTAAGTGAGCTTCATGCACTTGAGAAAATACTGGAGAAAAATAAATCAAGGGGAACTGATGGAAATAGTCCATGCATATTATTAATGTGAGGAGACAAGCTGTGTTCTCTGATCTTCAAGGTCTTTTCCAACCTGAGCAATTCTATGATTCTATGATTCTGTTGTCAGTGTGAAGTTTGGGGCTCTGGGATAGTTAGGCTGCTTGGCGCCTGATAAATCTTCTGCTTTACCCTGTCTAGGATTTGAATGTGTCTCTCTGGCCCGGAAGATGTGGTCCAAGGTTTCTCAGCAGGGAGAAGGTGGAGGTGGGGGAGACATCATCCTTGGAGGTGTTCCAGAACCATGGAGATGTAGCCTTGAGGGTCATGGTCAGTGGGCATGGTGGGGATGGGCTGGGGTTGGACTTGTGGGTCTCAGTGGTCCTTTCCAACCATAATGATTCTGTGATTCTAGGATTCTATGACCATGGCACTAAATGCAATATTCATGGCATTAAGTTCTATATAAAAGGAGAAAAAGGATTAAAGTCTTCACGTACAGAGAGAATTACAGGAGGAAAGTGATTATACTGGCAGATAGCATAGTGAAGGATACAAACACAAAGTGTTCGTAGACATTCATGACAGAGCTGCACTTTTAACTCATATGCCTTCATGTGTGAGCAACTGCTCTAATAAGGAAACTTGCAGCAGGAAAAGGAGGTTGAAGTTGGGAGAGTGGAGAGCACTGGAACAAAGTGAAAGTATGCATTTAGGTGCAAAATCAGGTGATTTGGACTATGATATTTTTTAGAGTCATCCATGCTGCGATACTTGGAAAGGTGCCCCTGGTCACAGCACAAATAATGCACTATGTGAGCTGTGTTACAGATCCTTCCATGCCCTGTTCAGCCTCTCTGTTGTCCTCTTCAGCTCTCATCCCTGTCCCTGCAAGGCAGGTCAGACTGCAGCAGGTTCTGCCCTGTACAAAAAAACAAACCTACTGGGATCTCAAAAGCATGGGATGATCTTTGTGTATCTTTGTGACAGCAATGGGGAAACTGAGGCACAAAGAGATTACCTGAGATGCCTAAGCTAATTTAGCAAAATCAGAAAAGAAGTCTGTTTTCTCCTGTATCCCAGTCAGATAGAAATGAAGGCTTAAAGTCTGCATTATCATCCAGTTTCAAATGCAGCTGTAATGTACAAGAAGAGGGGCAGAGCTCTGAAGACCTGACATGATCACATCCTATGACCACATCTGCTGTGCGACCTCCTCAACTGCCATCTTTTTGAAGCCTTCTCTTCAAGACAGAGACCCAAAGAAGTGCCACACACACAGCAGCTGGAGCAGCCAAAGAGTTAAATCACTTCCCATCACCGTTTGTGTGGGATACAGAAACAACTTTTCCTACTGCATCCGCAGCTGCCAGCAGAACTCGGTGACAGCTTTATAAATCGCACCTGAAGCAAATAAAAACGCCACGTCCAGAATGAGCCCTTATCTCTTCTTGTTTGTGTTTGGCTATTTTGTTTCTAAAGGTCACGGGTAGAAGCAGAAGGAGCCGTCACTGGGTGATGTATGTTGTCTTTGGCACGGAGCGACTGATTTTCTGTTAGGGCACAGTAACACAAATGTGAATGGAAGAAGTGGGGGAGAGAAGAGGTGAGAAAAACTGTGAAGCAAGCAGTGAAAGAAAAGAAGGAGGGAAAAAAATAAAAAGAAAAAAAGAAATGTATTTGCAATAGCCTCCAAAATACATGGAACACAAAGCAGCTGTTAAGGAAAAAATGGGAAGAACAGATGAAAAACAAGGCGTTCAGCCAGTTCTAAGTTTTGGTAAATGATGGAGAACAATATTATTATGTGTCCAGGAAGGAAAGATTCCCTTTTGTCTGATGCTTCTTATATCTCATCTTAACCTACTGTAGAAGCTCCCCACATACATTATCAGGGGTCATCATAAGAGAAAAACGTGAGTTTTCTCACATAATCACGAATAGTTCTGCATGGAAAGGAGATGGGAAGTGGGAGAGGGTACTGTTACAGAATCATTACACTTGTTCAGCAGCAAGTAAGAAGGTTCAGATCTGAGACAGTTCCTTAATGATCTACACAGCATCTCTAAAATCCTATGTCTGGGCTGGGTCATTGCTTTCAGAAGGGCTTTGATTGCTAAGATTTAGATGATGCAAAGCTCACTGCTCTGTGGGGAAATTATTTCAGAGGTTAATATCCCAGATTATAAAAAATGAGGAATTTAGTTGAATCTGAATGTGCCTAATGTTAACTCTGTGTCAGTGAAATTTAGAGCACCTACCTGTACAACATTTTGCCCAAGGAGGTTGTGGATGCCCCATCCCTGAAGGCATTCAAGGCCAGGCTGGATGTGGCTCTGGTCTGGTGGTTGGAGACCCTGCAAGTAGCAGGGGGTTGGAACTGGATGAGCATCCCCCAATTCAAAGAAAAATAATTTGACTAAGGTCCCCTAAGTTCTAGTGCTGGAGCAACCGAGCAAGCACAAGTAGGGCCAGTTTAATATGCATCAAACTGGATACCACGAACATTATTCATTTGAGAAAAAGTAAGCCAATCCATGTCCAGCTCAGGAACTCAAAGCACTTTGAAAACATGAAGGAATTAAACCACATGTCCTGCCTGAGGTAGGTGAAGTATTTTTATCCCCATTTTACGGCTGGGTAAACTCAGACAGCGAGAGGTTAAGTGACTTGTTCAGTGTCACAGTCGGTTGGGGAATGTGAAGAAGTGAAGCAACAGGAAGAACCTGACCTGGGGCATGTGTCTGTGTGTGCATGTCTTTATGCACACTTGCTCAGTAGTTTCTTTCCCTATAAACCACGTAGCTCTATTTCATGGAGTTGCAAGCACATGCCTTGTACAGGGTTTTGGAATGAAACACGTGGATGAAAGAATAAAGATGAGGTCAAACAGGAACATAAGGACAAGTTGGCACAATAGCAGCTGGATAAAAGGATTAAGGAGTCGGCTGGGTTGTAGAAACAGGAAACACTGTCTCTGAAGTGATTGGAATTAGTTCAAAGTGCCCTGCATGGGATGTAAAAGCCCTGGGCTTTGAGGGGAGCAGGCAGGCCCAGCATACATGCTTAGATGTGGCCCAACAGAGCTAGCAGCAAGATGAATCAGCAGCTCAAGCCAAGACTGTGAAACCAAGGAGCCTAAATTCAGTTTCTCACTTCTTGTGGTGCTGCCTTGGGTGACTTGAGCAAGCAGCTGGCCATGGTGTTCAATTTTTTTTCTGTCAGAAGAATGGGCATGAATCAGCTCCCTACACATGCCCAAAGGCCACTGGATGTGCCAGAAAACATCTGAGTCTTTGGCACAGGCCTGGCAGATATGACACAGGACTTACAGAGGACGCAGCTGAAGGTCTTGTTGATACTCCATGGCACAAGATGCCTCTATCTACCTGAGTCTTCCCTTTGGTTGTACAAGTAGGTCAGTGTGTCCATGTGAACTAGAGCTATCCAGGTATGCATGGACAATTGCATTTGAGATGTCCTCACTTTCAGCTGCTGATCCAAATGGCTTCAGCACTGTCATTTCTTCCAGCTCCGTCTCAAAGTATTGACAGTTTTTCCTTGCTAGGCATCTCTCACTAGAGAACTGGATTAAATCTCTAACCAGTACAGCCATTGGCTTCCGAAGTGGTGTCTGTTAGCCTACGGGTCACCCTAAACACCTAAGTTTGTCTGAGACTGTCTTTTCGAAAACTGTATGGGGAGCAAAGCAACACAGAGGGTTCTAACCTACTTCCAGCTGTTTCAGCTTGAGAGCTAAAAGGCCCTTACAAAATCAAATGAGTCCCACCTTTCTCACTTTATTGCTCTATTAGCATTTCCAAACTTTGAAAACGGCTTATGGTAATGACAATGGAAAATTAATGCGACTTGCACTCTCCATTCAGAGTTTGAGTAGCTGCAAATGCTCCACCATTTGCTTAAAGAAGAGAGATTATCTCAGACACGCTTTAAAACAAATCAGTGGAGTAGGATCGTTGCCTGGACTTGTGAAGGGATTTAGGAAGGGATGCTCATTAGCCAGGACAGACAGCCTGCTACACCAGTAGGACATGGAAGGCCAACTCTATCTGTAGTCATTTGCTATTTAAGTCACATACCACTCTGAAATGTGAACAAAAATAAGTTGTTCTCGTTCAAATAAGCTCAGCCAGTGGAACAAAATCTATTTAAATACCTCATAACCAGAAGGGAAACTAAGTTGTTAAATGCCTTCAGTTTGACAAAGCAAGCAGAATAGGTATGTTGCTTAGGAGCTGTGCTAAATAGCCCCTTGAAAATGGGCACTACCTTATGTATGCACACATCCATGATTGTTTGTGAAACATTAAATCCATATTTTGAGAGCGTTTTAGATATGAAGTATTTACTTCTTTATTTTGTTTTAAATAATACTCTGACACCTAAACGAAAACAAAATCCCACTAGTTAGGTTAGCTGTGGAATAAAATCATTCTCAACCAAAGAAGTAATTCTGGAGACCTTTTTATTTCAACAAGAAAAAGTGGAACAACTGATGTTAAAGTAAACTTTAAATAATTCATCACTCTTCTTTCTGCTTCTATTCCAAACGCATCCTCACTCCAGTTCTGTAAGGCAGATACAGGCAGTACCACAGTTGGATTTAATCTCTAGAAGTGGGTGGCTGGTGTTGGTACTGCTACCTGGGGGATATGATCCAGTCTGTGTCTATTATTAGATGTTATTAAAGGTCTTCTATTAAAAGATATGTCTATTACAGTTATTACAGCACTAAGCTATGCTTCAGCAGGCCTCTAAAGCAGACGCTGCAGTATCCTGTATGGTGTAACACAATAAGCCCATTTCAGTTCTCTTCTTCCACATTATCTTTACATTGCATGATCATCCTGGGCAGAAATTATTTTTACACAACACCTAAGGAAATGGATGCCTATTCTGCTGGCCTTTTAATTAGTACAAATCATGAATTATACTGCACATAGGTATTATTTGACTCATGATCCTTGGTTTTCACTGCTCATGCTGTCACCTACATGGATGCTATCCCCTAAAACTCCTGCAAATCCCAAACCAGAATTCAGCCATCAGCCTTCCATGGTGACAACAGTTTGCTTCTATGGAGACAGTGACATCCTGAGGATGTCTGACCAATGAAATATTTCAGGAGATGAAAAAGCAACAGGGATCAAACACTTATCTGAGACATGGATCCTGTTTGTTTTTCCATGCTTGTTCTGAAACAAACAGAAATTGTCATTGTCAAAGAAATAACCCATTTTGGATAAAAAGGGCATATATGGTTTTGTGTGCTTGCTGTTTATCTGCCAACTCAGCCACAGGGCAAGATACTTTTTTTTTTTTTTTTTTTTTTAAACCAGCAGCCAGGGAAGAGCAAGAGACAGTTTCAGCAGTGATTGACAGTAGATGGAAAGCAGTGGTCACTGGAAATCAAAGTTCTGTGGCTGTAGAAGGAACTTAAGGGGTCAGTTCAGCTGCTAGAGCATAAATAGCAACAGACATTTGGGTTCCTTCAGGTGTTTTGGACATGCACAAATCACTGACAGATTGGACATGGGGTCAACAGGGCCTTCAGGAGCTGGTGACAAGTTAACACATCTAAAAATGACTCCAGTCACCCCTGTGTGCAGGCAGGTGAATCAGGTTTCTGATAGCTCATTTATGAGCCCATATGACAAATAAGTCCTGGTATCCATTATGTCAGACTATATCTTTATTCATAACTCTGTAATTTCTGCTTATTTTGAAGGAATAACTCTTAACTTTCCTCTTTAGCAGAGTCCATAGCTTCATATACAGCTGGAGAGAAGAACCAAGGCATGGAAGAGATCTCAGAGTTAATAATCCATATCTTGCCCAAGGGCAGAGGCACATGTAGAAATCTTACCCCTCAAATCAAGTATTTATGTAACTGGTATTTCAGCCTCTAATAAAAAAAAAAGGCTTTATGCCTTGTCCAAAGCAACATATCCTTCTACTAAGGAAGATTTTTCCAAAGATAAAATTCATCTCACCTTTCTGTAGACTTGTGTTGTTTAAACATACACAAATGAATTTGCACACTCTGGCCTCCCTTTGTAGTGAATCAAAATACAAAGGCACTTGCAAGATTTGCTGGTCCCAATTTAGATTTAGATAGAGCATATTCTGTCCCCATTGCTTCTGTGACTGCTTTCAGTAGGATAAAGAAATTCTGTCTTGGTTATTTAGTTGTTTCCTTGGAAGAAATATTCTTCTGTTTATCCTAGCCATGACATATGGCCTGTTCCCTTCTTCTCTGCAGAAGCATCTCACGTATTTAAGACAGTTCTTGAATTTTACCTGCATAATTTCACTTTTAGAATGAATAACTGTTTCCTCCTGTCTTTGATCATGTCACTTTTTTCTAAAACTCTCATCATTTTTGCTGCCCAAC